GGAGCCGCGGGCCCGGGGCCCGGGGCCCCCGAGGGGGCGGCCGGCCCGCGCGGACGGCAACAGGACGGCTGGAGCGGGGGCCGCGCCTCCCGTGCCGCCCGGGTGAAGGCGCCCGATAGGAGCAGGGACACGCCGGCTAGTCGCTGGGACAGACGCCTCCCCCTCCGGGGCGGCCCAGGCACTGCGCCAGCCCAATCTTGGCCCTATGTCAGAGGCTCTGAGCGGTCCTCCTGCAGGCACAGCAACACATCGACGATGATACCCTGAAAACACGGATTCAGACTGTCCAAATCACACAGTGGGCCTATCCTGCGCGCGCGCGCACACACACACACACACACACACACACACACACACACACACACACACACACACCACACGGGAATGCACAGGAGCTTAGCACACCCTCAGAAACACATGCAAGCTGTGGGCTTCACACACAGAACAACCATCCTCCACACCCAGCCCCAGAGCCACACACCACCCTCACAGACCTGCAGTGTGGACACCCTTCCCTGTCACATAAGGATACATTTTGGACACCTTTCCATGCAAACACCCCCATCTCATGGGGGACACATTTGTAAGCACAGTCACTGTGCCCCTGAAAGTACACCAAACCCTCAAACCCCACCGAGATGCTCACTTAATCATATACAAGCAGGCTGGTGAGGGGCACACAGGGCACAGCGCACACAGCTAGCCCAGAGCAAAGTGTTGCAGAGTGATAAAAGTACTCTCTGGCTGCAGGGGGACCCCATGCTTCTCCCCAGAAGGAAGCATATCCATTCCTCTTCCCCAGGGCCCTTGTTCTTGAGCTGAGCTGAGGGTCAGCTCTGGGCTGGCCTCTCTTGCTCTGTCACCTGGCTGATGCCAAATGCTGCCCTCTCTCCTTTTCTAGTTCTTCAGACTCTTCTCCAGCAGGGCAGGGCTGGCAGGGGCCTGGCTAGTGAGTATTCCTACCAAGTGCATGAAAGTATTTATCATTATAACTACTCACTGTGGCCTAATTTACACACGGGGAAGGAAAGGGGGGCCCAGGAGCACCCAGTCTGTTATGGCAGCAGGGGACACCAGCCAAGAGCCCATCTAGGAAGGAGGGCCACAGGGAAGCCTCTTGGGAAGATCCATCTTGCCAGCCACTGTTCCCAGCAGATAGACTTGCCAGGAAGGTGACCTATGTGAGAGGTACTACAGGAAAGGAATAGGAGAGGAGAATGGGGACAGAGGTAGGGGTGGGCAGGATGGAGGGAGGGAAGAACAGAGGAGGAAGGGTGAGGGTGAGGCCCAGGGTGGGGGGGATCATGTCAGCCAGAGAGCGGTTTTGTTCTCCTGTTTCCTGTTTGCTGCTTGTGGGACCCACGCAGGAGCTGGACCCCAACCTCCACCCTGCGGAAGCCCGGCGGGAAGAGCAAGGCTACCATGAGCTGAGTCAGGACTCAGTCAGGGAGAGCAGGAAAGGACCAGTCAGGGACAGCAGGGCAGCCAGGGACAGCAAGACGAGTCAGTATCTCTCCCAGTTTCTGGATGGCTAGAAAACCAAGGATTCTGGGTCTGACCAACTCCTACTCTGCCCCTCCTTGTTACTTCTTCCCAAAGATCGACCCTCATAGACCAGGTGCCATCCTCACCAAGATGTCCTCAGCCATGCTGACTCTGGGACCCTGAGTGGAAGGCAAAGACACAAAGACATCCTTGGCTCCCCCATCTGGTCTGCTCTACCAACAAGCAGCCAGTAAGTCCTTCAAGCTGTCTAAATGCCTTTCCTTATTTTTTAAAAGCTTTTATTTATGAGTATGTGATCATGAGAGCACACATGTCACCTCCCGCATGTGGAGGTCAAAGCAAAACCTCAAGTGTCAGTCAGTCCTCACCTTCCACCCAGGCCTCAGGCTTGTGCAGCTAGCGCTTTTAGCCGCTAAGCCATCTCCCCAGGTCCCTAACTGCCTTTTATTTCACAAGGCCAGATCCTATATCTAAGGAAAGGGACTCTTCACTCTTATACCCCATGGGCCCCTCATGGCTGACCAGTGCTGTTGTGTGTCTGATCCAGACTTCAACAGCTCTGACTGCTATAGGGAGAGAGAGCAAAGGAGGAGACTGCCTGGGGCATCTGTGTCCAGGGCTACAGAGACCTTGAAAGAGACCAGCAATCTCCTGTGTCCACTTCCTGCCTTTTAATCTGGTAGAAACAGAGAAGGCTGCCTCAGCAGGGAGGCAGAGGAGAGAGTTACAGGGCTGGTTGCACTGCACATAGTAGGGTCTCGAAGGTGGGACACAACTTGAACAAATGATCTTCTAGGCCTGGGGAGCCCGCTCAGCCTGTTTCCTCTGGGAAAGGAATGTGGGGTGGGCCCCAGAGCCCAAGGGGGAGGGGGTAAGCCTGGGAAATACCAGGCGTTGCTGAGATTCTATTCCAAGCCTTCCTGCCCAGTGTGTCCTCCCCCCACACCCTGCCCGCTTCCTCCCCCACTGCAGGAATCACCCACGGGCCTGACCCCTCCCAGCCCCCTAGATGGACCAGCTGGCAAAATCTATTCCACCTATCTTTCTGGGGGTCCCTGGAGAGGGACAAGGGCTACACCCTTAAAGGGAGGGCACCCAGAATTCTGGAAAGTACTTTTGCTTGTGACCCTTCCCTAGGTACTGGATATCCAAAATAACTAGCTTTCTTTCTTTCTTTCTTTCTTTCTTTCTTTCTTTCTTTCTTTCTTTCTTTCTTCCTTCCTTCCTTCCTTCCTTCCTTCCTTCCTTTCTTTCTTTCAAGACAGGATCTCACATATGGTCCTGGTGGCATAAAACTCTATGTGTAGCTCGGGCTGGTCATGGTAATCCCCCTGCCCTCTGAGTATTGGGATTACAGGCACATGCCACCACTCCCAGTTCAGTTTTGTTTTTGTTGTTATTTTGGCTTTTTGCTTTTTTTGGAGACAGGTCTCTCTATGTAGCTAAGGATGACCTTGAACATCTGATCCTCCTGCCTCCACTTCTCAAGTGCTAGAATTATAAGCCTGCACCATTACCTGGCTCCCACTTATTAATTACAGAAGAGAAGACTCAAAAAGGACAAGGGACAGAAAAGGAGAAGGCTTGGCTTTTGGACATGAGCTTTATCCCAGGGTTCTGAGCCCATCTCCAGACTCCTCTACAGTACCCTCTGGGTTAGCCATTCAATTACCACATCTGGAGTGGTGCCGTGGGCCAGGGTGAGACCCTTGAAAACAAGCCAATGTAATCCCTGCCAGCAGTGCCCTTCCTTTAGGAGTGTCTCCCAGCCTCCCAGCTCCTGAAGCTTCAGGGGTCCCTCAGCTCTAGACTCAGATCCAGGCAACTACCCCCAGTGCCATTTGGGGGGGTCCACACACACAAAGGAAGCTTCTGGTATCAGAGGCCTAGGTATATGAAAGGGGCAATGGTGGGGGCAGAAGCTCCCAGGCTAGCCCTCCCAGGAGAAGAGGGTCAGGGCTAGAAGAGCGGAAGCCTGTAAGGCCTGAGTCTGACCACCAGGAACTAGGAAAGGGGAGGAGACCTGTCCTGAGGCCCAAGGGTCAGGGACAGAAGGAGGGAAGCTCAATTCGGCCGGCTTTTCCTTCCTCTGGCTTGCTCAGCACCTCCTCTCAGACCCTAACTCCCAAACCACAGGTGGCCAACAAGGGCCCCATCCAGAGAATCATCCATCTGCTCTCTCATACCATTAAACACAGACCCATAGCCACTTACAACCTCACACACAGGACAAATCTATAGTAAGGGCCATCCCAGGCATGTGGGCAATGCATATATAATGCCTGCCCTTGGGCCCACACCTCTACCCTCTGGCCCAGTCTCCTCCCTCCAGGACAGTGCCTTCTGGGCCTCCTCCACCCTTTAGCCTCATTCAGATCCAGGTTCCCAGCCCTGTTGGGGCAGAGGCCCCTTCTGACATGCCCGAACAGGCCAAGTTGACAAGCCAGCCAGGCAAGCTGCGGCTCCCAGACCCTCCATATACACACCACCACAGCTGGGAGCTTGGGAACCCTGTGCTGGTCTGGCAGGCAAACATTAGGCAGTTCAAAGTGTCTCCCCAGATCCCATGCTCTCCCCCTTTCAAGTCACCGTGCTCAGGGTTAGGATGTTCTGTGACATGCCGCTCCCCCACAAAGTAGGTCACAGCCCAAGAAGAAGGCTAGGGCAGGGGAAGAAGCAATCTATGCTTGACATCCAACTGCTAGGAGGGGCAGGGATAATCCTGGACAGGGGTTAGCACCTGAGCCTGGAGTCTACACCAATAAAATGGGAGTGATAGGAACTTCCACCCAAAGGATGTTGGGAGAATTAAATCAATTAAAGAAAGTCTCAGCAGAGTGCAGTAGGCACATGCCTGTAACCTCAACACTGTGGAGGCTGAGGCAGGAGAACAGTTTGAGGCCAGCCTGGTCTATATAGTGAGATCATGTCTCAAAAAACAAAAAAATAAAAGACCCAGCACAAGCCCAGAGCACACAGTCGAGGTTTGATAATGCAAGCTGTTTGACACTCAGACATTCAGACACTGGGTTTGAACAAAACACGGTTACACAGCACTCACTCACAGAGATAGGCACTCATTTGCCCTCAGGAGCATCACAGCCCACCCTAGGCTCCCACGGGCTCAGAGGCAACCCCTTCTATCACAGAATTAGCAGGCCCAGAGGCCTAGCTTTTAGGCCCCTTGGGAATGGTCAATACGGACCCCAAGTGGAGGCTGCTCCCAGCAGACAAGGAGCATGGAAAAGGTGCCAGGCTGGCAGGCTCTCCGCCCAGCAGGAAGGCTGGTGCCCGCCTCAAGGACGCCAGGGGAGAGGGGACCAAAGACAGTGCCTTTGCTCATGGTGGGAAATGAGTACTTGCTGAAGAAAGTGAGCCTG